TATTTGTATCTAATATGTTTGATACATTTCCTAGATGATTGCATGGTATTCACAACTTGAAATTTTTGAAATTACTACTCAAATTTCAAATTATAAGCATTATTTTTCAAATTATATAATTAAGACGGTGAGTCTTGTCAATGCTAGTGAGTCTACATCCCAGAATTTTGATATATGTTGGTGGGATATCGATAAATGGTTTAATACTATTGTTTATTAAATGCTTTCGATCAATTTCTTAATCATTACTATTGAGAACAAAGTACTTTCCATTTTGATTTAGAAAATAATATTATGCATCAAGCCAAATAATGTGGCTTAAGAGCCTAATTTTTCCATCAAACTATTTTGATGATGCGGTATATGTAAAATAGATCCATCACAATGCATTGAGATGAGAAATAAAGAATGGTGAAAATAAATGAGTATTTTGGACATTTATTCAAAGGGGTGATATTTTATAACGTGATTTGCTGATTACCAATTTGATTGGATAATTTTCTCAACAGTAGGAGATGAATTAAAAAAACTAAAAATAAAGTACACATCCATTTTTATTTAAATCTCCGCAAAAGATAATTTGAACCAGAAATTCGAAAAATAATTTATTTAAATACATTTACTAATCAAAGAAATCAACAATAGTTCACACTAACTTTAAATGCTCCAACTCGAATTAATGTCTCAGAGGACAATTAATTAGTATTATATTTGATAAATTTATAGAATGTTTAAAACGTGATGATATTAGATTATAATACAAAATTTTCTAAACAGATATAGAGCAATTAGGAAAGATGATCTCATTAAGGAGGTGTATACTCTTGATGAGTATTTAGACATGACAAATTATAAAATGTCAGAAGAGGTTCAGGTACCTAATATGTTGAAAATGAGACATCTCGATAAGTTATGTCATCATTAAAAAAAGAAATAAAATCGAAAAAGAAAAAAAATTGCCGACAATACTTTTATATCTATCGAAATAAATGCATCAAAATATATCTATTGAAGTAATGATTGGCCAAATGAATGGACGCAATTCTAACAAATTGAATTTATTGGAGAAACCTGAAGTTTCTTGACCTACGTCCAAACACCTAAAGGTGAATACTTATGCGAAATAAAAATATAAAAAATAAAGTCGTAGTATGAAATGTTCGACTCTTTACATAATGAATTTTGCGAAAACTTGTGTAGATAGATAAATTATCATTAGGTGAATGTAATTACATGTTTCTATTTTATTAGTCCGGCAATACATAAAATTTGATATGCATATAATAAATGTAATTATAGCTACTTTATCTTATATAATTTTAATACTATCATTGAAGGATTTTATACCTGAAGCACATAATTCAACTGATATTATCACGAGGGGAAGTAAAGAATAATATACTCTTTTTTTCCTTCAATAAGACTTTTCCCGTATGATTTTTCCTATGATCATGCTACACGTACAATAGGGGTTACATAATGGGTTGTAGATTGTCACATGACACTCTACCATTTGCCGTTTAAAACACAATCAACTTTTTTATCCAATCTTTTTCCTCTACATTGTATTATGTAACATCTTATGTACAATTTTGATATACAAGTAGCAAAACCCTTTTTCCTAATACAATTTTAGCGAGGCATATTCTTTGTATAATAAATGTTCATAACTTAAAATATATTTACCCTCAAAATAACACTCTTATATGTATGAGACTCCCAAAGAGATTAACAATAATTATTTTTCAAATCATTATCACTAATGTCATTAAAGGTTGATAAATATCTCGTATGAAGATAGCGTTATTTGAAGGCTATCACAAGACAACATGAAACACGTTTTACCAGAATTGCAATATTGAAGATGTTGGCGAACAAGAGTTGGATGACTCGATACAAGAATTTTTGTTTATTGAAATACGGGAAGCAGCTATACTCTTTTTCCTTAGATTAAGTTTTGCCCATTTGATTTTCTTGACAAAGTTTTAACGTGCCACATGTTTTGTAATATGTCATTCAATAGGAAGTGTTGTAAATAATATTATTATTAGTTAATGATAATTATACCCCTACAGACCTAACTTTTATTATCACTGTATCCCTAATTCTTCCATATTAATATAGGATTTTAGTTCTCAATAGAATACATAATTCTATTTACTTCTTTTTTTTTCTTCTTTTTTTTCTCTAGTTTATAACACAATCCTGAATATTTTTGAATAATTTTTCTAAGAAGTAAAAATCCAATTCAATACCCAATCTCTTGGTCGGATCAATGTTCGCGTTAGATCCGATAACTTTCATAAATAGTGTATAAACCCACAGAATGTGATATTCAATTGAAAATCTGCAAATAATTTTGTCATGAAGTAAGGGGTGACGATACATTATCTAATTGCCCGAATGTGATTCCAATATAAAAGAAGTGACATCTTATTTGAATTCAATATATTTGTCTTGAAGCTTTGCAGGTTCTATACTAATAGAATTATGACTCACATTTTTTTTTTCATTAGTTATATAATATGTTGTCCAAGAAAGTAATGCATAATTTGATTTGAGTTTAAGATGCTCTTTTCCTTTCAAATACATTTATCTTTAATCCATATGATATTCAACCTTATAAAGATCTAATATTTGATACATATTTTTTTTTTATCTTTACTTGCATTGCTTGTCGAAAACTCGAAATAGATGATTCACAAAAATTGATTCAATTAAGAAAAAAATTAAGAAAACACAAATCCAAATTGACTTGTATTAAGAAACAGTTACCCCTTTTCGGGTTTCATTAATTTCAAAATGCATTTTTCTCTATTCTTTTCAACCACACATTCACAAAACTTGATTCAATTAAGAAAAAAAATTAAGAAAACACAAATCCAAATTGACTTGTATTAAGGCCCATTTGACAATATTTTTAAACAGTTACCCCTGTTCGGGTTTCATTAATTTCAAAATGCATTTTTCTCCATTCTTTTCAACCACACATTCTGAAACAAAAAAAATATTACACGTAAATCTAAAAAATTTCCTTCTTTTTAACCACATTTTTAGCCTTAATTTGACCCCCATTATTCCACATTATATTGAGAGGAATAATAATTTTTTAGAAAATGTGTGGTTAAAAAAGAAAGAAATTTTTTGAATTTACGTTTAATATTATTTTATTGGAAAATATGTGTTGATAAGAAGAGAGAAATGAATTACAATTGAATAGGAAATAATGGGAGCCAAATAGGGGCTTTAAAAAATCACCCTCACAAAACACATTTTTCTCAAAAACTTTAATTATATGAGCTCAAACAAGGGCAAAAGATACTTCTGAAATTAAGAAATTACTTTCAAAAACAAAAGCAAAAATCTTGTCGAACATATCCTTAATGAATCTTGAACTTCATAAAAATCCTTCTTTTCTTTTCATTTATTTATTTTTTGCCCACCCAATCAAATATCACTACTACTAACACTCCCCCAAGTGAATTTATATTATATTTTCACATAAATTGTTGCAACTCCGAATCGAATCTGGGTATATAATTTGCTTGCACCGATTTTAGACGGCAAATAAACCAGTTGAATTAATCCACCATTGTTGGAAGNAGACGGCAAATAAACCAGTTGAATTGATCCACCATTGTTGGAAGTTCTCAACAGACTAATTTTATTCCAATCTGTTGCATGATTAAAAGTATTCATTATAAAAAAGATGAATCATTAGTGCAACAACAATCTAGGTGGCACTAAATGTTATTGAATGAAAGGTACAACTAAATAAGTCACATAATTTCACATTTAATCGAACATATCAAATAATGTTACACAAATTGATGCTCAACACCTATGATGATAGATAGTATTATTCTTTGAAAACTGGTAACAACTTCCCCAACAAAAGAAATTCTTCATTTTACAACTCGCTTATTTACTTGCAATTAAATTTTTAAGCTTAGCCGAGCATGCACTAAGAACAAAACAAATAGTGCTCTATGATGACTCAAGTTACCTTCATTTAACTACATAGAAGAAAGGACACTGTGCAAACTGTTGAATCATTGACCTTATGTTCTCAAAAGCAGAATTTAAATGCAGCAAGTTTCCTAGTTTTACGTATCAGTCATCGAGTTTGGTATGTTGATCCCCACATCATATCCTAAACTTGAATAACAAAGAACTCTAGGTGTTAAAAAAATAAAAAATGAGGATGGCTTCTTTCTCAATTGAGGATTTTGCTGGGAATAGATCTCTGAAAGAACTTCTCCCAAAGCTTCTGGAAGAAGGCTGGGACGATGTCCCGACTCTAAAGGTCATGAATTCCGAGGACGTGGATTATCTAGGCATGACTTAACAACAGAAGGTTAGTTTATCAACATAATCTTTTTGAGTTTATACCAATTCAACTGTTCGCTTCAAGTTTTTCAGTTAAAATTCCATAATCACCTTCATAGTTTAAAAAAAAAAACTTTCTCCAAAGTTATAGATCATGAGAATTTTCCCATATAAAGGAAATGAAAATGACAAAATCCATGTATTATTGTCCCATATGTGCAATCTAATGCAGTTCGACGGGTCAATCTAAACTCCCCTTACCCTTTTTTACTAAAGAAATCTTGCACGCTCTTTATTTGTCGATTTGCAAATCTTATATCATGATTAATCATCATTCTGAAGATTGCATCTTTGTCCTATCCAAGGATGCACTTGAAATTAGGTTATACCTGCATGATCGAGGGGGGCTGGTGCAGTTTGCATATAAGCTGGAGTCCTCGAAGAAATGTCTTCCTGAGCTTCTCAGCTTGTCAACCGTGGATCTTTCTTCTCAGTTGGGAATGAAAAGGGGCCTGATGTAGAATTAGAAACAAGAAGA